TGGTGGAGGGGAGCTGGGTGGTGAGCAGACCCTGCCTCGTACAGGGCACAAGAGGGACCCTCGGGGTACCACCTGGGCTTTCAGCAGACAGGCAGTGAGCGCAGAACCGGGACGTGGATGCAGCCTGTCACACTACTACGGTTTGAGCCTGTTTTAAAGGGTGTCAGTGCACACTGCCTATCCCAGCCTCTCTTCTGAGACGTCAGAACCCATAGAGAAGCTCTGTACGGATGGGAGAGGGCTCTCTGCCAGGCAGAGTGCTCTATGCCATTTGATACAGCATTTCCAGGGAAATAAATGACTGAGCTGGTCCGATGGATTCTGGTGCCTGACTTTTAGGGAAAATATCCAGGCCCATTCTACTTGCTATATAACATTTCCTCCATGCTGTGAGATTATAGAAATAAGCCACAATCAACCCTTCCTAATCAGAGAGATGCGATGTTATTTTTAAACCTGCCAAAAATTTTAACCCAAATGGTGTGGGATACTATGGTTACAGGGCCTCAAAAGAGTTATTTGTCTCTGTTTATTTTATTAAATATTCCTAGGCATACCCTTAGGATGACAGATCAATAAGTGCCTTTGCGGTTTCCTGATAGAAGGCAGCAATTATTTCCTTCCATTACAATATAAGCATAACCCAATTTTACTCATCTATCATGTGTCTAATGGTAATAAAGAAGTATCACCATGTGTTTATTTTACTGTCACTTCATCTTTTGTTTTGGTTATCTTCTGTTTTCATTTCACATTCATCCAACTGTTTGTGTCTTTCATTTGATGGGAGCGGTGACCAATTCATCTTGTTTTAGGACATTTATAGGGAACATGGTGGCAAAAGCCTGTCTGTGGTTTCTCTTTTCCCGTAAGGTGAATGGAGTGCTTCAGGTTTTCACCTGAACTTACCTTTAGAAGAAACAAAACCACAGAAACTTTACAGAACTGAATTTGGATTTCATTTTTAGAGGTGTCTTTCCATGGATTCAACAGTGAATGAAGTTGGGTATCAGAGGAGAATTGAGCTCACAGTTGTTTAGCACATAAAAGACACAGAAAGGCTAAACAAAGCCCATAAAATCATCATCTAACTAATGACAATTGCAATGTACAGTTGAGATTACCAATGCTAAACTCAACCCATCTTTCACACTTGGGGAATCACATTTAATCCATGATAGAGGTGCACACCACTGGACCATGTCTGCAAATTAAGTAAACAGCATTTGTATCCTCATCTAAGTACTCCTCTGCTTTGAGGGGTACCACACCAGGGCTGACAGTGACTAACTGTGACCAAATACACACTGCTAAAAGCCTACATTCAGTTTTCATTGTGGGTGAGGAGATTCCTGAACAGTGATTCAAAACCCTCTACAGCAGCTACCTCTCAGATATCCTTTTCCTGACAGGCAATAAAACCCCTTTACTATGACTCCAATTTTTCTTTTAATTCAAAGCCAGTTCTGTTTCCTCCTTGCTGTCATTGAAGTGACAGCCAGCTCTTCACTGAAGGAAATTATTAGGAAGTGCTAACCGGTCACAGCTCCACTGAGGTACAGTTGATATCAATCAGATGCACCATAGGATTCACTCTTCCTAACCCTGACTTCAGTAAATCCAGGCTTTGGCTTATTATGTGTTTCACTTAAACACAACTGGAAATGTGTTATTTTGATTTTATAAAGTTTTCCATGAGTACTGGAATGAGTGAAGCACAGCTGTGTCTGGATTTATAACTTGTGGTTGGTTGACTTTGCTGTCCAACTAAGATCTGACGGAGGCTTTTCCCATGGGTGAGCAATACCTGCTTTGGTCTCTGTAAGTCCTTCTGATGTTTATAAAGGGGCTCCTTACACTTCATCAGTTTCCATAGCCTGAGCATATATTGGATCTGTCTCTGGATTCATACCTTTAAGATTTCTTATTGTTGAGGTTGTCAGGACAACTAACAGAAAGACAGGCATACATAAACTTCATTCTTTTAGGAAACAAGGCCAAAAAATAACAAATTTTGTCAACCGCATCAAGATAAGCTGAAGTTTTTTTTTTTAAATACTTAAAATCTGAGAACAGTTTGAGGAAGTGTTTTGGATGTTTCATTCTGGTTTATTTTGGTCTCATTCTACCTTTAGTAGTCTCAGACTAAACAGTCCTGAGGGACAGCCACTTAAAAAGATGGACTACCCAAAGTCCAACAAAATTATGTACAATTGTCTTGTGGGACTTTTTTTGATAACATGAAATAGCCTTTAGCAATCAGATTCTAACTGTAAATTATCAGATAGCACTCCTGTGCAAACATTTCTAGAGGCTTATCTTTCTTTCTGACGCTGAAGTTAGTGGTATACCATATCCACTGCTATACTGTTTTCACTGTCCTATGACTTAATCTCACAGTGGTCACTGCCTTTCACTTGCATCAGTGGTCTGTGGTTTCATTCTTTCAACATCAAAGAGAAAGATCATCTTGGCCACATTACAAAAAGCAAGTTCTGAATTTTGCCAAAATAAACTCTGACAAACTCTTACAGTTCATAAAAGGTTTCTTTTAAGTTGAAGGTGACTTACAAAGGGGAAAAAATGGGTTATGCCCTCATGTATGTTTTTATAATGTACAAAAAAGGGCCTAAGAAGAGTTGAGAGGTTTGGAATTTTCTTTTTTTTAAATTATTTTATCTCCAGAAAAATCAAGGAAGACCAGAGTTGGCATTCCTGACCAGAGTGGGCATCCCTGACACAAGCATAAGATATAATGGGCTTTCCTTCTGCCTCCTCCTTCCCTTCCTTCATCTTCCAACCTTGCAGGTCTACTTCATGCACCTGAGAAAAACAAGGGTATAAAGGATGCCTGACAAATTCTTGTGAATCTTTTTGGCCAATTACGACCTGAAAAAAAACTCACAAGACACTTTATTTGAGCCTTAACGTGTCCTGTAAAATAAAGCAAAAGAAATGGAATGGCAACGCTTGACAGTCTTGATACTTGAGTGTTAAGCAAACAATCAGGACAGAAATTTCTGACTGCCTTTAAGCCATTTAAAGGAATCACAAGAAATCACAGAAACATTTTTCCCTTTATCAATTTAATGTAGCAGAAATCAGAGTTCTGATGACATTTCTTGAAAATGGGCAACTATAATAAACCGTCTGCAGTATAAGACATTCAGTTCTGATATGCAAAGCAGCAGCAGACTCTGGAAAAGCTTTTGAAACAGGAAAGTACTTCCCAGCATGTGAAAAGCAGAAAATTATTCTGTCAATATTTTAATGGCACACTTTGCTATGAAAAGATCACCTTATGAAACAGGTGTATAGGCAAGAACAGAATGAGATAAGTTAAAGGCCACGAGCTTTAAAGACAGTCACTCACAAATAAAATGCCCCAGGAATAAGGAAAAAAAACTCTCACAGAAGAACAATGTTCATTGTTAAAAATGAACAGAAAATGAAAAAAAAAAAAAGATATTAAGACCTGAAATGAAAAATTAGGACAGCAATAACACGGTGAAGAAAGATAAGAAGTTACTGTGCTGAACTTCCTTTTAGCTCCTGAAAATTGCCTTCCCCATCAAAAAAAAAGGAAATAAAATGCTACGTCTGTTGTGGCTGCTGTATCAGCATCCCTTGGCAGTACCTACATCTCTGTCAACACCTGGAGCCTGTGATAAGCAGCTATCCCTGAACGCCAAGGCTGTTGTGATGATGCTCAGACTGGGTCAGACCCTACCTCTTAGCACATTCCGGCTACTGGGGGGAAGCCACAGCCACTCTGTAACAGATGCTTCTCCCCAGAGCACCCTGGCAGTGAAGAGCAGCCCTTCTCTTTCATCTAAGAGGCTCCCACCTCCAGCCAGGGCATGTGCCACAACCTGTCTTGATGCCCTGTGCTGAGGAGGACTGTGGTGGTATAGGGGGGATGAAGGCCCGTGGTTCCCACACCAAACACAAGCCATCCCAACATCATGGTATGATAGATCCCATCCAGCCCCAAATGCAGGTTAAGCTGTTGCTCTGTCCTGACACAGGCCTCACACCAGTTCACAAGGCTGAGCACAGCCTCATCATAACGGTTCTGGTCCTGCCCTCTGGCAGAGGACCGCATGCCACCTCTGAGCTCCAGCTTTCCTGTATTTGAGAAATGAAAGCTCCACAGAGACGACGTTTAAGGCCCTGCTGCATGGAACAATTCAAACCTTTAACGTTTTACGTTTCAAAATGCATGTTAAAAGTATCCTATTCCCAGAATCTGTATTTCCTTTACAAGAGCTGACACCGGCACAGACACCAGCCAGAAGGGAAGAAATGACTGTGCTTCCTGCACTCACAGTATTCCGGACGGTTGGAGAGCAGCAACCACCTGAACACACGGTGTACAGAGACATCCCTCCCATCCAAGACCACCAGTATCGTCATGCACATACACTTTTCATGGACACTTCTTTCATTAAGAAAACTGCTTTCAGTGTGACCGTTTATGCACTGAGCATGAGTAATTGTATCACAATCTGGCTCTTCATGGCTTGTTCCAAACCAGCTCTTTTTTGTTTTTTCTAAAGAGGGCAGTGATTCAGCATTAACACGGTTTAAAATATGAGTGATATTTTCAGGGACTCCTCAGTGCACATGGATACGAATGTTAATGAATACTTTTTTGAGATACTGAAAGAAATAACTGCATAAATGTTCCATTTATCTGCATCACAGTCTCTCACAAACACAAAAAAATAATTACTTACAAATTAAAAAAAAAAAAAAAAAAACAACTATTTTTTTCCCCAGTTCCACTAATACATTCTTAGCACCATAAGGACCTCAGCGATTTTCGTAGTCAATTTACAGGAACTAATCCTTACAGCTATGAATCACCAGCAATGCTAAATAACCTGAAATGACCGGGAACTTAAACTTCGTAACTGAAACCGAGGGGACGGCTACCTCGCAATAGAGTAGGCAAAGAGAAGAGAGTCCCAAAATGTAACAAATTAATTGTCACTTACCCTGTTCAAGCAGTATTTGCTCTCTTTCCCGTAAAAATGCTGGAGACATTTCATGTTCTGCTTGTCGACAATCTTGTTGAAGAACTCGTTGATGGTTCGCACAGAGACAGCACAAACAGCAGATCTGTTGGTTGGTTCGGAAGAGTCTGGCTTGCTTTGTGCAAAAACGCCATAGAGAATATCATCGTTCAGCCCCAGGCCCATTTCGTGGGCTAGAGCTGCACCTGGCTTGCTTACATAGACAGCTTGCAAAATGTTGAACACCTCCTTTCGGATGGACCTCTTCCTCCGCTTTTCAGTAAAAATACACTCAAGAGGCATTTCCATGTAAGAACGCATCTCTGAGTCTAAAGTGCAGAAGCGGATAATTCGAGTGTGAAAAGCCTGGGAGTCGAGAGATTCTCTCTGGACAGTCAGAAAATAGACAAAATGATCATTTTCAAAGGCATGAACATACCTAATGGGATACGAGTCGCGGAACTGAGGGAGGATATCCATATAGGACTGATCTGTCAGAAATTCAAAACCATCTTGTGTTTCTTTTAACCTTCTAACTGATATTGAATGCAGCACGTAAGGAGGCTGAAACGTAGATGTCACAGTATTTCCAACAAAGAAGTTGACAAACCTGTCCTTTTCAGTCACCAAAACTTTGGTTCCTAAAGTGCTCACAACACAGTCAGGACAATTATCTGCTTCTCTGTCCGCCCGGGGTGAATACATGCAGTGCACCTCGCTTTCAATGTCAGCAGGGTTGTCAGGGTGAATGATGTGACGGTGGCAAACGCCTCCGGACACACTACCACAGCTGATGAGCTGATCATCATAATAAGTTTCTAAGAGCAGTGCCATGTTGACATTATCCTTCCATACGCTGTTAGATAAATTGGCTTTATCTTTGCAGTCTTCACATGGCGCGCAGTCAGGGTTCTCCAGAACGGGCCCAGTCTTGTACACTGAAACATTCTGGAGAGTTTCATTTAGTACATAAATCTTGTTGACCGCTCCAATATAAACATGATGATTGTATAAAACTATGTTCTGAATCGGTGTTTCTGCAATGAAGTTAGGAAGATCATATTTTACACTCAAATTCATCTCCGATTTTTTAGCTGCTTCTTTGCATTGTCCATGGCTCCTCTGCAGCAAGGCAAACAGGAATACGAAAAACCCAGAAGGATATGCAGTAAAAGGCTTCATTGTCAGAGATTTAATCTGTCAAAGTATATTTAAAGGAAAGAGATATACTAAAACATCAGTTTATCCATCAACAGAAATCCGTTTCTAGGCTGCATGTATTAGCTGAACTATTTCAGTTTAAGAAATGTCATAATCTTGCTTAGTGTCATTAACAGTCTTGTGCTAGAAACTGCTACGACTGCTGTTCTTCATGGGTACCCATCTCACTGCTTTCAGAACAACCCACAGAAGGATTTTCTTATGATGAACTTCACAAGAGCCCTCGGTGTGTTGTACAGCAGCAGAAGAGAGATGACTATTTCCACACTGGCATTAAACCAGCTGACTGATACTATTTACGACAAGATGGTGCACAGGTAGCTGAAAGCAAATCTGCTCAGGACACAATGCACACCAAGCAGTTGTGGCACTTCACTGTGTGGACAGAAGATATTTGGCAAGTTCCTCAAGGGGCTGAGCTGCTTCTTAGCACAGCTGCTCAAAAACGAGAACTAGGAAGGACATGAAATAATGTGAAGATTTGAGTTGGAAGTGGGCTTCTCTTTTATTCTGTTGACATTTTTGATTAACCAAGGAAGAGATTTTTCTCCACCAGACCAAAGGAAGAAACCTCTCCCTCCAGCTCCCCAAATAACTGTCTTTCATAAGGGCCCAGTTTGGAAAAAAAGAATGTTTTTTTCAGCCAGCTCTACTTCTTGGAATAGTCATTTTCCCTAGTGTTGACAAGGTTTTGCAATATATTGTTGGAATATTTTACGCATCATGTGGTGCCTGGCACGTGCAAGTTTTATTTTAGGCCTTGTACCACAGCAGTAAGTCACTCTGGTGAACCTTTACAAGATACAGGCATATCACTATATTGTAAACAAAGGGGTATCAAGTGACCTACAGCCATTAACTGATGAAATCAAAATCCTAGCACTTTACTTTTTTTTTTTTTTTTTGGACTTCTCCACACAATTGTTTGATGTGGCTTGAAAAACCAAAGGCAGATGACTAGTGTGATATTTCACCCCCTCAGAAGATCAATTAAATGAACTGTGGTTATGAGCGTTTCAGTGCAGTGTCCATGCTATGCCCTGTCACACCAGACATTTTCTGTTAATGTCACGGCACAGTTGTTAAACTAAATTTAGCTTCTTCAGGGAGAAAACAATTATGCATTCTAACAACAGTATGATAACATACTTAGGGAAAATAGTTATAGTTTGGCTATAGTCAAGCAGTTGTTGCTAATAGAGAAATGCTTATGACCACAGGAAAGATTTAAAATAGACAACCTTGAAAATTACAAACGAGTAATGCGGATCTGTACTGACTTTTTATTTCATTAAGACTTTGGGCAAAATGAAAAGATGACTATAGACCAGAGCTGTTTCTGCTGTGTATAAATGCAGTGTTTTCACTACATTGCCTAAAACGATCCATCAATAATCTTCTGCATTCCTTATGACATTTTATTTCAACGTCCACTGAACTCTTTCTGTGGCTTACCTCATTAATTACACAAAATAATAGCTTTTGGAAACAAAGAATTGTTTTTCCTCCCTGTTATCTGGTAAGAATCATGATCAAGAGCTGGGGATAAAAATCAGAAACACCAGCTATTTGCAAGTATTAGTTGGTAAGAACAAGTCACACTTCTGCTATTGAGAAATGAAGATCTTCCTTCAAATCAACAACATTTTCTGATATTAATTAGTGATCACAGAATCCTGGAAACAAAACAGACATGGATATAAGTTTAAAAGAAAAAGAAAAAAAAAGCAGGGATTTTACTATAATTAGAAAATAGCCTCAATATGCAGAGTGCTGACTTCTGTATGGTATAGGGCAGGAAACAGTTTTTCTCATCCTCTGAAGCTTCTTGCTATTACAGAATTTTTTCTCCTCTGTGCTGGGACGAAACCAAGAGCTTTCGAAGTTTGTGTGAAAACACCCAGAAGTCACACCCGATCCAAGAACAACCATGTCCACCTCCCTGCCTCGCCAGCGCCAAGCAAAGGTCTTGGGAGGAGCAGGAGCCTGGTCTGCCTGCCTGCCTCCTTTCTCCCGGCACTTCCACTTCTGCTAGAACTGATACATTCCTGCAGAAGCGCTTCTGACGAGTCAACGTGTTCTGACAAATACTAGATGAAGCAGAAAATTCCGAAAGCGCTCTACTTCTGACACAACACAGAGGCAGGTATATATACTGCAGTGTTTAAACCCACATAACAGAGGTGGCACTGCAGTGGAGAGAGAAAACAATAGGCGGGTCAATAGCTGGATGAGGATGATCAACCACCATCACAGGTAAAATGACGCAAGGCTACTTCAGACACCTACTTTGCTGCAGTAGATTCTGTGCTACGTTCTTGTTTTCATGTGTTCCCAAAGAGATTTCCCACCCTGTATGCCCCTCAGTCTTCAGTTTACAATCTTCCCTGTTCCAGTGTCCGAAAAAGAGGTTCCCTAGCTGTCCAACACTAAATACCAGTGTGTGCTGCAGAGGATTTTAGAGCCATAAATACTGTCTGACATATTCTTTCCCTCACACCACATCTTGGGATGTGAGGCCAGTATCCTCAGATAGGCTACTCTGCCTACACCCAGTTGGTGAAACAGCACTGGTTTCCATTTGTGCTCTGGAGACAAAAATTCCTCCTTAGACTCCTTTAGCAAATGAAACCTGAAGCTAAGAGCTTGACAGCAAGAGCAAGGTCAGGTCAGTGTAATGCAAAGGATGCTAGGAATAATAGGTACTGTATTTTACCACTGCAAGAGGGAAAATAGAAGCAATAAATGAAAACCAAGTAATTTTTGCTCTCTTATCTGAGCTCCATCATTCTGTCTTCCTTTGTATGCTTTTGAGGCGTTTCAAACATCCTCCCAGGCAGAAATCTGCTGATTCCCACCTATGGGAAGCTCAGGCTCAGATTTACAGGCAGCTCTAGAGAAGATGGTTCCCTACAATGCATGTCTCCAGCACACTGTCTATCTTTCCTCAAGGTGCCTGAAATCAGAAGACACGTGCTCTACTGTGAGACATTTACAGCTTAGGGAGGACACAGGAGTTATGTGAAGAGTGCAGTGTACAACTCCTTTTTTTTAGGCATTTATTTTTTTCACAGCCCTCACATCATATGAACTCCACCATTCCTCAGTGAGACTCCCATTATGCTTGGGTCCTCTTTTTTATCTCTTTGACCCAGGGTCTTTCTCTACTCCACTGCTGCAGCCTGCGGCACAGAGCTGCTTTTCTGTAACCTCCAGACCAGGTCATTGTAAACACATTTCGCCTGAATACAAATTGAAGAAGCAGGAAAACTTTGGAGAACTAAAAATTCAACCCCACCTCTCTTCAAAGGTCCAGTAGTCCCAGTTCTCCTTAGCACACACTCAAATGTAATTTCAGTTGAACTTTAGCACTTAAGGAGTTTTGCTGAATTAGAACCAAAATACTTAGGCTGTAGATACACTTTTTGAATGCAGGTCAAAGAACTAGTTGCTGCCTATCAGTTGCAAAAGGAAAACAAGTAAACCCTTTGTTTCTCTACTTGGTTTGAATGATGGATGCTGTTCTTTCCGTTGTGACCTTCCCGTGACTTGTGTGTCAGTGTGTCTTTCATGTGTCTACAGAAGACTTGTAAGCTGTGGCATGTGATAACTATCAGCAAGCAATAGCTGTGGATGGATTATTTCTTTTGTAAGCGATATTTTCAGAGCTTGTGTCATGATGTGCTCATTTTTCCATCCCTCAGCAGACACTAGCTTGCATAACTGATGAGAAAATGGATTTTGGTCAGCCGTTGCAAGTGGCTAGTAATGATGCATCATATTAGTGTGCCTGGCAACCTCAAGTGCTATGGTTGATGCTTCCCACCAGGCTTGGTCTTGAGTGTTTGTGTACCATTAATGGTTTCCCAATGGCAATTTTTTTCCTACAAGTTTAATTCTCCCTAATTATGACCTGGGTGATAATTTCTAAACATTGAGCATCATGTCTCTTCTTGACACTGTTTGCCACCGTACTGACAAGTCAGGCCTGACTTTTTTGTTGAATAATATTCAAGATGTCATACGCAAGGAAGCCAGAAAACAGTCATGCTTGTTTTCCTAGCCCTCATTTCAACAACTTGGTTCCCATTTAACTCTGAACACAAAGCACTCCATGGATCGGACCAAGCTAAGACAACACGCTGACATGCAAGCATTTAGTAGGTTGTTTGGTGCATCCCTTTTGCCCTTGCTTTGTTACCGAAAAGGAAATGACAGGGTCCTGCATATCCCACATAGAACGTGTTTGCACAAGGATACTTTTAGTCCTCAGATAGGTCATTTCAGGTTAGTTAACAGCAGAGCCATGATAATTCATATTTCAGAAACTCTACTGTCAGCAAATGGTAGCCTTGTCCCCTCTTCAAGGAAATATTTGATAGTATAGAGTTTTTGAAGTGGGATAGTACAACTTGCTACTTTAGCCTCTGACAGAGTTGTGGTGGCAAATTTATATAGCATAACCATAGTGATTACTGCTCCTGAGAGTTCACTTTGCTTTGCTATCCCAGAATGAAATCCATGCCACTTCAGGACCTGATTCCCTGAGGATCAGATGCCCTGCCATGGAGACAGCAGCATCATTTTACAGGACAGGGCAAATGAGATGGGGAGATGATAACAGCTCCATCCACCCAACTTTAACCTGTTGTTGCAGATCTGTCACAGCACTGGCATCAGCTTCAACAGACTAAGGCCCCAACAGACATGTCTTCATCAGACTTTTCAATTAACCGATTGCATCTGTAGCTAAGAATGGTTATATGTAAAATACTTAGTAAGATTAACCTATTTTATATATCCACAGATTAAAAATGTTCTTAAGCCAGAATTGCTAACCTGAATTAGCTCCCTTGCATTAAAATAACAGAGAGAACAGGAAATTTGAGAAACTCGGCAACAAACATTCAGATGATGCCCCGAGTTGAATTCAAATGGCTAATCTGAGTTTAAATCCATGTTCCCTCATC